ATAAGGCCATAAAATAACAAAAAAATATATATATGTCTAAAATTTTAAATCACATATCTCCAAAACCTTACATATGTACAGTACGCCCGCGGTAAAAGCAACACCTCGTCTAAAGCAACACTCAAATGTTTACCATTAGTGACTCCGTAATTGCAACTTAAAAACAAATTGTCCCTCAGTAAACGCAACTTTCTATCCACGATTTATTGTTTCTTTAAATTTTTTTCTGCAATGGCCCGAAGAAACTCGGATTCAATAAAGCACATCTTAAGTCTTCAAAAGTTGCGAAATAATGTATCCTCAAAGAAAATATAAACGAACATTTGCCAATTTTTCAAAACTGATTGACCAACAACTATAGGTATTTCGACTTTGTACACATATAAATGATTTTCAAGAGAATTCAACTAATACTTTGGTTTTATCTTACAGTGAACAATATTATTTGACTTTTGATAATTTAGTTTTAAGGTTAAATTCTCATTTCAGACTGAAATTTTTTGTGATTCGGTTATTGCCGCTTATTGCCACAATCAACGCAACTGCCCGACTTTTTCCCGGTTACTTTTACCGAGGGCATACTGTTTGTGTGTATAACTTTCCGATTTTTACATTCAAGCGTTCCTTTATTTATTCCCTTCTGGGACCAAAGAAAAACTCGTATACAAATTTGCATGCGCTCGTAACGATTAAACAAATGGAATGAACATAACCCAGCAGGCATACTATTTACGTACGTGTATGTAGCTGGCGGCGAAGCGGGAGGGCAGCACCCGTTCAAGGTCGTTGTTAAAACAACGTCCCACTGACCTACTTTTGCACAGCTCACTACCGGAAACAAGCATCTGTACGCGTAATTACAAACACAGCTGCAGGAAAAAATTGTGAAGCATACAATTAGGCGTGTTGCACAAACAAAGGATGCACTTGACCTACAGCAATTTGTGTAAAACTCGTATGTACTATGTATGTCTATTTTTCAAATATGTTAGTGTCAGTATGTGCTACGTATGTACAGATATACCTACATGTGTATGTAACCGACACTTTCATTGAAACCCAATCTAGGCAGACACTCGGCACTCCTTATTTACATAGTACATACATACATACGCTTGTTGCATATGAATTGCTCATAATTTGTATTTATTCTGCTTAACACTCACTTAATTTTTATTTAACAATCAATTAGGCACAATTATNGCTTGTTGCATATGAATTGCTCATAATTTGCTTAACACTCACTTAATTTTTATTTAACAATCAATTAGGCACAATTATTGCTACTTTGAATTGATTTAATACATTTTGTTTGTTTAGAATTTGTGGAATATAATTTTATTTGTTTACTAACCACCATCAACACAGATTTTCGAAAAGTATTTGATACTGTGTGGGAGGCAAATGCTTGCCTTTTGTATGCAACTTGTGCTTTCGAAAGTTCAGCGAGCTTTCCCAAATGCATTTGTTGCTTCCTATACCCGTGGTGAAATGTTAGTAAATATAGTGAACTGTTCTGGGCGATTTAGTAGTAGCAGCACACAATGAATGGTGTACAGAAATAGCAGCAAATTAAAAATCTCCAACAACTTTTCCCTACTTCCCCTACAAAAAGCAACAAAGTTTTCAAATTTTTCCTAATAAACAATCGTGGTACAAAGCTCAATGAAAATATTAAAAATAAAATGTTAACAAGCCACAATAACATTGACAAATAAAAAAGTTTGAAATTTTGGTGAAAGTTTGTTGAATTTTTCAAATATTTGTTTTTTTTTAATGTTTATTATATGCAGTTTAGCATATAATGAGCTAGACTTGTAAAAGGCGAATTGCAGATTGCTAGTGCAGCACGAGCAAGTTGAAATATATTTCCGAAATCGTTTTGCGCTCTCTCAATTGCAGTCACATCTTGGAACTTTTATTTCTGAAACTGATTTCTGAAATGTGACAGAAAGGTCTTTCTGGCTGTTCACACAACGAAATAAGATTTCTCTTTCCCAATTTGACAGCGAATTACGTGGAAAAGTTGGAAATATTGTCACGCCTGAAACGCTCTTAAGGTTTAACTGTAGCATGTTTTGAAAAGTTCGAGTTTAATTGAATTTGTGAGTCATTGACTATAGGATATTGAATATAAGACCTCGATATGTAGAAAATCTCTGTCTCAATCAATCCTTTACCAAAAGAAATTCTGAGTATCTAACACCACACATAGAATATATTTTAATGATTTTAAAAAGCCTAAAAATAATTTACCACAACCACTTATTTCGTTAATACAGTAACTTAAATCGAAGAATTATAAATACATACTATGAGGACGCGTCTTCAGCACAGGCGATGCTGTGGTTAATAAGATTTGTATTAAGGTCGGTGACTTTTGCAAAGGACGCGAATCAACCAACAGCCGCTACTGCATAAATGGTTGGATCTGTGGCAATGGTCGTGCTGGTGTCCATGGTTCCGACATTACTAATGGCTTTGATAACGAAACTTGCTGTGGTGAGGTTTCCCCCGTTAGCGTAGGTAGCGATTCAGTTGATATACACATGACGCCATCGGGACAACTTGGTGGATAGTGTGGTAACTCCCATTTCCAAACTCGCCAAGCAACACAACGGCCCAAAGATTGTTGAAAGCCACTACCATCGGAACAACTTTCCTGCAAGGGTTCCATATTTAAACCAATACAGCGCCAATAACGCATTGGATCCCAGAAATTTCTGTAGAGATGACCAACTTCGCCAGGAGTTTTGCAACCGGGTTTACCATCGTACGTACTCCTCGCTGCAATGGTTGTTATACCAATACCGAAGTTTAGTATAGTTAAAGTGAGTGCTGCAAAATTTAATCGTTTATGTATTTAATTTTCTAAGGCATTAGGCAATATTAATAAAATTACTCACTCAGAATTTGCATCTTTCGCTGGAACTCCGGCAAGACCGGCCGACAGAAAATGGGACTTAAAGTGTCGCGTGCATTTGTTATGTTTATCGGTTTTATATGCTCTTCATGTTTGATGTATTTTAACAAAAAGTTGTATAAATAAAAAAATATAACATGTATGATGATTTACAAAGTCGTTGATTATTATCGATACTTATTGATATGATCGGTGCATTCCCCTACAAATGCACACAGTTATGCTGAGTGCTGTAAGTTACCGGTCTTCATCGACCGATAAGCGGCAGCAATGCCATTGTAATGGCAGAGTTTCAGGGCAATTCTTGCTAAAACGCGAAAGCACTTATATACCATTTAGCTCGCATCACTCCAACGGTCGCAAGGCAAATCCGAGTTCGAGTACTGGCGCAGCAGAACTTTTTGTTCTTTTTTAATTGAATTTTTCGGTTTTTTCTATTTTTAAAAAGGAAATATATATTATTTACGTTGCTGTTGGTTGATTTTTCCGACTGGGTGGTA